ATCCTGGTAAAGGTGTCCACACCCTCTCCAAAGTACCCACATCCTTTCTATATTGTGGTGACCAGAAGTGCACATAATAATCTAAATGTGGCCTAGCTAATGTTTGAAACAGTGTCACTGCCCAGTCTCACTGGACTCTGGAACTCTCCCCTGAAAAGCATTGTGGCTCTACAACAGTACACGGACTGCAGTGGTTCAAGAAGGTAGCTCACCACCAACTTCTCAAGGGCACCTAGGGTGGGCAAGAAATACTGGACAGGAAGCAACACGCACGTCACACAAGTGAGTAAAAACGATACAAAATTACTGTTTTGAGTAATGAGTTAGCTGTCCTGTTTTCTGAGATTGGTGTCGACATGGAGCACTTCACAACTGATTAAAAACATTCAAAGCCAAAAGTATTTGCTCCTCTATCCACATAAGCTTAACCTCCGCAATTCTCCATCTTTTTAATTTAGTTTATGTCTGGTTTGCCAACCGTACAGCACATCTAGGCCTAATTGACATCCCGAAAGTATGCTGGTTGAGGTGGAGAAGCGGTAAACAAGACAAGGTTGAAGAGATCAAAATAGAAATACAGTTCTGAATGCTTCACAATTCATCAAATTTTCTCATTAGCATTATCTATTTAATGGCTCTCGTTACATCTATTAATTGATTTTAACAATAGAATCAAGGTTTATAACAGCAAAGATTAACTGCACACAATTTTGAACATGCTTTAAGTCTATTTCAGCTTGCTGATTTTGCATATTCTCCCCCTTCTTCATTATAGAGAATTGCTCATCAATATTTCAACATTTATAATGTTCTTTGATTAGTGACTGGAACACACACAAATAACTGCACATTATAACAGTTCTCACACAAAAAAGAACAAATATCAACAACATCCTAAAATCAATAGCTTACTTCCTGTCAATTTCAGTTATGTTTGCAGAGTTCAAAAAAATGAAAGTCGGCTCATTTCAATACAAGCTATGCGGGAGTTCTAGTTCACACATTTAGTCTCTGGTACTGCAGAGATCAAGTCTGTTTTCACACTGAGGACACAGTCCATTATGTTATGATCTGTACTAAATGGACTAGGTTCAGAACAAATCTAACAGTTCTAAATTAGACATCCATGAAGCACTGTGGGCTGTCAACAGTTGCACTCAAACTATATTCCATAAAAACCTGAAACATCATAACTCTGGCATATCCCTCACTTTACCATTACAATTCAGCTAAAGGACCAAACTTTGTTCAATGACTGTAGGACAGCATGCCAGAAGCAGCATCAGGAACAACCACAAATTGAAGGACCAAACTGGTGAAACCAAAACAGAGGACTACATGTACGCTGGACAAGGGGGGAAACATGCTTTAGACAGATCTAAGTAACTTGACATTCAACAAATCAAATAAATTAGCTTTCAGCAGGCAATTGTTAATGGTATAGGACAGTTACACAAGTAAATCGCAGACAGAAGATCAGCAACCATCAGCAGCCCAGATGTGCGGAGTTGATAATCCATCAAGGCCTCCATCTGACATCTGTAACATCACAGTTACCAGAACTCAGCAGCTTGTAACACATAATGAAGTAGAAATATTATCTAAAGTACTGGCCCTGCCAATAACTCAACTGGAATGTCGAAGATCTGTGTTCCATAATAAGTCATGTCACACATTAAGTTCTTCCACTACAGCTCCAAAACAACCATCACCCAGAGGAAACTATCTATGCATGCCCTACTTACAAAAAAGCAGGACAAATCCAATCTGTTTAATTACAGCCTACCAGCATATGTGCAAACATCAACAAAATGATAGAAAATGGCACGGAAAGTAACAACGCCAACAACTCCATCATAGGGTCCAGTCGAGCATGTCGTAACACTGAAGCAGTCCGTGTCCTTATGTACCAAGCGCTGGACAACAACCAGGCTTGAGCAGATAATGGTAATTAATCTTTATGCCACAGATGTGACAGTTAATAATCATCTCCAACAAGAGTTGCTGAACATCTCTCCTTAACAGTTAACAGGCTTCTCTTGCTGAATCACTCATCATAAACACCCTGGGGGACACCAGTGACAAGCAATGGAATTGGACCAGCCACATATAGAATGTGGCTACAAAAGCAGGTCAGAGGCTGCCAATGCTGTGACAAATGACTTGCTTCCTGTCTCCTTCAAGCCTTTGCATCATCTAAAAGGCACATCAAAACTGCAATGAAATGTTCTGCACCTGGCTGGATGAGATTAGTTCCAACAACATTTAGGCAGCATCCAGCTTGTTTGAGTCACACTTCATTCATCACCTTATACAATCATCCCCTCCAGTACTGGAACAACCTCGGTACAATGGAACTCATCTGCAAGATGTACCACAACTAATGGGGGAGGCGATGGCCTCGTGGTATTATCAGCGGACTGTTAATCCAGAGACCCAGATAACGCTCTGGGGACTCAGGTTCAAATCCCACCATGACAGATGGTGGAATTTGCATTTAATAAATATCTGGAATTAAGAATCTAATGATGACGTGAATCCATTGTTGACTGTTGGAAAAATCCATCTGGTTCACTAATGTCCTTTGGGGAAGGAAACTGCCATCCTGGTCTGGTCTGGCCGACATGTGACTCCAGACCCACAGCAATGTGGTCGACTCTGAACTGTCCTCTGGGCTATTAGGGATGGGCAATAAATGCTACCTAACCAGCAACGCCCTCATCCTGTGAATGAATAAAGAAGAAAAAATAACTTACCAAGGCTCTTTCAATAGCACTTTCCACTGTCATAACTGTCATTAACAGAAACACAAAGGCAGTTAACTTGCAAGTTCCCCTTCAAGATGAAAACCATCTTGACTTACAAATATATTGTTGTTTCATCATAGCTTCTGAATTTCAATCCCGCAACAGTCTAACTATTCTGGGTGCACCTCACACTATATCAATTGAATTAGTTCAACAAGGTTCTGGGAAAGTTCAGCTAATGTTTTGGGATCCTGGTTCAATTCCTGCCACAGCAGATAGTAGAATCTGAATTCAATAAAGCATATCTGGAAGTAAGAATCTACTGATGACCATGAAGCCACTGTCAATTGCCGGAAAAACTGATCTGGCTCACGAATGTCCTTCAGGGAAAGAAATCTGCTGTGATTGTATAAGCTGATGAATGAAGTGTGACTCAAACCTTCCCCATCCTCATGTGGTCTGGCCTATATGTGACTCCAGACACACAACGTGGCTGACTCTCAACTGCACTATGAAATGGTCTAGCAAGCCATTCAATTCTTTCAATCACTCCGAAGTCTCACGTAGACTGCAGAGGTTCAAAAAGGCAGCTCACCATCACCTTCTCAAGGGCAACTAAGAATGGGCGATAAATGCTGGCCAGCCATCGACACCAACATCCCATGAGTGAATAAAAAAAGTGGCTCACCACCATTTCCTCAAGGGCAGTGAGCAATGTCATTCAAGCCAATTTTCCTTGGAAAGTTAAAGCTTAAAGCAATTGCAAACAGACACATTAACTACATATGCTTACTAATGTGTTTCCTCCATTTTATTTGGGATAGCTAATACTTGAAGATTTTGATTCTTCAGTTCAACATGCCAGCTTCTTAACACTTCATGTCTTGAAACTCTCAGATGCTTTGCAGTTTCTCCTTGAGTAATTCATGGCTGTTAATTGCATCTCCTAACCCTTCCTCTAATTTCTACCTTATGTTTGCAATAATCTTTATTTAATTTAATCTGTAATAAATCAGCTCTGTAATTTTTTGACTACCTCAAAGAAACGTACTTGTTCCTTACTCCCAATCTGTCAAAAATTGACAATTCAACCAAATTGCACTGCACTCCTGAATTAAGGGTATTTATGTAAAAGTAGGAACGAGCCATTGGCATCAATACGCAGAGCACTACAAAGCATTGTTTCTCTAACCAATATCTAATGTTTGATTTCTTCTGGCCATTCCTTCTCCATCTATAAATTTACTTTGCATCCAAAGCTTCAATGATGTTTCAGGAAATTTATAAATACAACAACACGGAGTTCTATATTCTCAACTATTATGGTTTCTGACAGATGACAATGATATTGTATTAAAATCAGAATGAGTTTAACAGATGTACTTTTTTAGGATGACATAAGCTCGTTTCCTAAAATGGCATTGCCAGCTTCACATCACACCTTTTCTTAGAAGAGAGAAGCACAGCCCAAGAGAATCTAAATAAAGCATATCTGGAATTAAGAATCTACTGATGACGTTGAAGCCACTGTCAATTGCCGGAAAAACCGATCTGGCTCACGAATGTCCTTCAGGGAAAGAAATCTGCTGTGATTGTATAAGCTGGCTGACTTTATTAATAGCAAACAGTTCACAGGGCAGTTAATTCGCTGTCAATGTGAAGTTTAAGAATTTAAACAATCCTACTTCGGAACTTTTGAAAGTTTAACTTACTCGAGTTAGTGTCATAAAACAGCAATGCAAAGCTGAAGTGATACAAGGGGACTTGCTCAAAGTTTTTTTTTCTCTGAAGAAGGGTCTAGGCCCGAAACGTCAGCCTTGCTGCTCGGCCTGCTGTGCTCATCCAGCTCTACACCTTGTTATCTCAGATTCTCCAGCATCTGCAGTTCCTACTATCTCTTCCTCAAAGTAATATTGCTTTCTCAGTCTGTCAAATTTTACACCACAGTTAATATAAACATGCAGTGAAGGATAAATTAAAATGCTCTGTAGTGACACAAAATTGGTATCACTAATTGGAAAGGGTTAACTATTCTCTCTTCAAATCTCTTATGATAAATAGCAATAAAATGATCACTGAATTCTACATCAGTGTTTACACCAGTATCCAAATAATTCAATACAGGTAACTGTTTGGGAAGTATTTTGAAGTGCATACTTTGTGGAATTAATGCATTTTAAGGATTGGTATTTACATCAGCAGTTTTTCACAAGAGTGTGCAATTAGTTCTGCGAGAAGAACATCAGAACTCACCTGGTATGTGTCCCATAATCTAATGGTACACCGTAGGGGAAGTTCCCTCATCAGTAGGTTATTCATCCATCGAAAAGCAAACTGCAGGTATTCAACTTCTGATTGTTGCAAGTGTTTATGTACTTGTTCTGTAAAGAAAAAAGTAAACTTTTCATGCTCCACACCAAAGATTCGTCTTAAAACTTATGCACTGCACTAAATAATACTCAAATGCAGGCTTTAAACACTAAAATTATGTTGTTTTATATATTCAAACACAGACGAGATATTCAGCAACTACACTTCAAAAACATTTTTGTGGCTCTAAAGTAGTTTGAAATGTCTGGAAATTGTGAAATGTATTACACAAGTCTTGGTTTTTGTCTTTTTATTCTAATACAACATATACATGGTCAGTTTTCACCCAGAATTACTGGGTAGTAATCAAAACTTCCCATGCATGAATGACAGTGCCTGTGACATCAAAGCCAGTAGTGCCCCACATAGCTTCCTTGGCTGAGGATGAAGCAGATCTAACAAAGACCAAAAGTGGGATGAAATAGGTCTGCCAAAGTAAAAGAATGAGGTGCTGAATCTGAGGAAGGCTGCACAGACTGTACTTATCTCTTATTTGAACTTGTACAGAAAAGCTGCTTATAGTCATCTCTGCATTGCAGGAACAGCAACTCATATTCCGCTTGGGAACCCTGCAGCCCAATGGTATCAATGTGGATTTCACAAGTTTCAAAATCTCCCCTCCCCCTATCGCATCCCAAAACCAGTCCAGCTCGTCCCTGCCTCCCTAACCTGTTCTTCCTCCCACCTATCCCCTCCTCCCACCTCAAGCCGCACCTCCATCTCCTACCGACCAACCTCATCCCGCCCCCTTGACCTGTCCGTCCTCCCTGGACTGACCTATCCCCTTCCTAACTCCCTACCGACACTCACCTTTACTGGCTCCATCCCCGCCTCTTCGACCTGTTTGTTTCCTCTCCACCTATCCTCTCCTCTATCCCTCTTCTATCCGCCTCCCACTCTCTCCCTATTTATTTCAGAACCCCCTTCCCCTCCCCCTTTTCTGATGAAGGGTCTAGGCCCGAAACGTCAGCCTCTCTGCTCCTATGATGCTGCTTGGCCTGCTGTGTTCATCCAGCCCTGCACCTTGTTGTCTCGGATTCTCCAGCATCTGCAGTTCCTACTATCTCTGCATTAATTGCTTTGTTTTGCAATTTGATGACTGGGTCATGCAGGTAAAATACTAGACTGAATTCAATACTGCAAGCAATACACTATTAATTTTCAGTAATTGGATGTTTAACTTTATCAAATGAGAGACATTCTTAAGGCATTACACTATGTACTTCATAGGTGAAACCTTCACCCATAGTTCAGCCATATGTCAAAAATATAATCCCTCAATGGTGCAGCTTTTTATACTGGTAAAAACTGAAGTTACATCATAAAAGGAATATTAAGCAGATGCTTTTTGCAGATATTTTTTCAATAATTAATAATTTGGACTTGAATGAGCAAGTGAGGAATTCGATTATGTTTTGTTTTATGTGGCTAGTTTTATGATGGAGAAGAAACCATATGGCTAGGTCAATGGCATTGCTTCATTGCTGGTTTAGGCTCAAGCTAATGTAAACTTAAGCTGACAAGTGTGAAATACTTTTGAACTATACAGAGGTTGTTAAACAAAGGCACAGATATGTTTTAAAATGTTCATTTTTTTTCTTTCTATAGTCTTAACAGGCCTATCTGTATTTATTTATATGGTAAGATTAAGCTTTATTTTCAGTTACAACACACTGTGGAATCACACGTGGATCTTATAGCTGAAGAATATCGATATATTTGTCAATAAATATATCATTCAGAAAATTTAGGATGTTAAGGAGTGACATGACATACTCAAAGCAGACAGTAATTAGTCAAAGGTATCATCTTACCTATACATCTATGGAATAAATAAGGAAAAAGGGGCAAGCTGTTATAAAAGGGACAATCTTGTAAAATGATTAGCATGCAAAAAATGAATAAGGAGGCAGTAACAACTGACAAGTGTTCAGGATGTTTTTGCTCATGCATGGCGGGTGGGGGGGGGCGGGGGGAAGGTTGGCGGGGGGAGGGGTAGTTGGGGGAAGTGGGCAGGTGGGTGGGGGGCATAGTGGCTGGCAAGGATAAATGAGGCCTGGGTTTTTGTGGTTCAATGCATGACAAGATCGTCTGAAGATATTCAGTCAACGGACCAGTGTCATGAACAGGCATGTTAATGTGGATAGGCTGCAACCATTGCCTTATCAATCATCATTTCTGTTCTACTGGTTATGATAAACGTAATAAATTCTGTAAAACTTGAGAATATATTTATACCTGGAATGGAATTCGTACCTAATCAGGAGTATTTGATTGTCTCTCTCAAACTCAGTTTATAGTTTCATTTGAGTACTCTGGGCAAGAAAGTGTGGGTTCAAATCCTACCTGCTCCAGAGATGTTATAACATGTCTCTAACAGGGTGATTTAAAAACATCTAGAATTGTAATTCATGCTGATCTTACAATTAAAGTGGAAGTAAACCCCAAAATCTTACATCTCTGTTGTGAATTCCCCTTCAGTTAAGTCACCAACCTTTCCTCAAATTCGAACATTAGTAAGCTTGAGACCAGCTTTACAAAATAGGATTTTCAATTCAAAGCCTGGATTTGGTTCCAGAGCAGATCTGCTGTGTTCCAAAGTGAAATGCTGAGGAGCACGACAGAATCCAACAGATCATAACTGGCAGCGAACAAAAACAGGACCACAATATATAAGACAGGAGTGACAAAGGCTCTGGAGCAAGGTCTGGTAGAAGAAAGTGGAAAATGTGAATGGGGAGTACAAAATGGTTCCCCGAGATGCAGACAGCAAGGGGGCTGCAAAGATTGGGTACCCAGAGGTATTTCAAGTCCGGTATAAAAACAGTTATACTCTAAGATTTTAGAGTAGATTTGTAGCTCGGGTTGTGGGTGTTGTGGTTGGTTGGCTTGCGGAGCTGGTTCATTGTTCTGCAGACGTTTCATTACCCTGCTGGGTAACATCATCAGTGCAACCTCTGATGAAGCGCTGTTGTGTTTTCCCACCTGTCATTTAAACTCTGGTGTCCGTTGAGCTGGATTACCTCACTTCCAAGTTTTCCTTCGCAATGGCGTGCATACGGGGTCTAGCTGTATGTGGCTCACTCAATACTCACTCATCTAGATCCACAGGGATAAGGAGAACCACCAATTCGATTGGGGCAATACCAGGATACTGGGACAGGCATAGCCAAGACAAGCATGGGAATTCCTAGAAGCCTGGTACTCCACTAAGAAAGCCATCAATAAACACAGAGCTCGACCCTGTATATACTCCATTGTGAAGGAAAATGAAAGTAGGGTAATCCAGCTCAATGGACACCAGAGTTTAAATGTCAGGTGGGCAAACACAATAGCGCTTCATCGGAGGCTGCACTGATGATGTTACCCAGCAGGGTAATGAAACGTCTGCAAAACAACGAACCAGCTCCGTGTGCCAACCAACCAGAACAGTTATACTGAACTCAAAATATTAACTCTGATTTTCTCTCCACCGAAGCTGCCAGACCGGTTGAGTTTCTCCAGCATCTTTATATTTGGTTCAGATTCCCAGCATCTACAATATTTTGTATTTAACACAAAACAGAAATCTTTTTAAAATGACGAAGGAAGACTGGACTGCTGTCATGTAGGAAATCGTTTAACCTCATAGCTAAATGATAACAGTAAATGGACAGAGTGAAAGCACAGGTAGAAACACAGAATGTAAAACAGAGAAACTCATCAGCCTGACAAAGAACGTGACCAGTGTAGACTAGAAACACATCTAGTTTTGCCAGAATTACAAAGTACTATAACAGTTTTGAATAACTTGTAATCATATGATAATAAGGATGCCAGAGTACCCAACAGAACTGTAAACTGTATAAATGCATAAAAAAGCAATGAACAGAGTGACCGTCTCTTCATAAAGTGTTTCCCTGTGTGCGCGCTTGTGTAATAAATCGTTGTCTTGCTCAGACCCTCAGTAATCTTTGTCTCAAGTGTCACGAGAACACTACAGCAAAGGCAACAGGTACATGGTTACACCACTGCAGGTTCCTTTCTAAATCACTCAGCATAATGACGGAAATATATTGCTGCTCCTTCACTGGCATTGCATCAAACCTCGGATTTGATTGCTAACAGCATTGTGGGCGTACCCACAGCAAATGGACTACAGCAGTTTGATGTGGTTGCTCAGGTAGGCAATCAGTAATGGGTGAAAAATGCTGGCCCAATCAGTGAAGCGCACATTCCCTGAATTAATTAAACACTAGGACTATCATCCATATAGATGATACCAAACTTGCCAATCCTGTTAACTCATCAAAAAATTCCATCCTGGTGGCATATCAACTTTAGATACAGCTCACTTTTCCAAAAGTTAACCTTTATCATCCAGCATTTTAACCAGCTCTTCCACTCACTAGAACTCCCCAAGCATCATCTTTCTTCAATAAATTAATCAGTACAATGGGCATGCTCTCTGCTCCCAGGCGCAGATCCCCATGCCTCATCTTCTCAGCTTGGTTCCAAAAGGATGACCCCTCATGTTAAACCTAGTTCCTAGCACCCTAGTTCTGGACTCACCTATTAGAGGAAACATCCCGATAAGTCTACATTGACAAGGCCTTTCAGGATCTTACCAGTTCTAAAGAAGAGGCATATGCACACAAAATGTTGACTCTGTTTCTCAGCTTAGAGGTGCTGCGACACCTTAGTTTCTCCAGCACCTTCTGGGTTATGTCAAGATCTGTGAGGATTTTATACACGTCAATCAAATCAGCCCACATTTTTCTATACTCCAGTAAAACCAAGCCCAGCCTGAACAAGTTACCTTATAAGACAACACACTCATTCCATGTTTCAGTCAACTGAACTGGCTCTAGTTTATTTACATCCTTCATTAAATAAGGAAACTGCAATGTGCACAGTATTCAAATGTGGTCTCACCATTTCAGACTATAACTAAAGCATACTTTCCGAATTTTTATGTTCAATTCCTCAGAATTGGGGCAGCACAGTGGCTCAATGGTTAGCACTGCTACCT